ACGAGAAACATGGTGAGATGGAAGCAGTTAGTGGTGGAGGTGAAGCAAACAAATAGTCCCACCGTCGGCAGGGGTGTTGAGGGCCAATGAAGGCCAAAACGGGAGATGCAGACAGGGAGCAAGGCACTGTGTATTTTGAAATGGCTTACAATAAACAAATGCTTAATCCTGGAAGTACAAACAGGATACTAACTTTCTAATTATCCTTAACAATTGTAGATAATACCCTATTTTCTTTATGGCCTTGATGTAATGCCAAAGAACTTCTTGATTTTTAAATCAGAACAGCCTGAAGGCCTTTAAAATTGAGTTTCTACAAGATTTTTGGTAGAGTATTTGGTTGAAAATCTAGGTAACCGAAAACTTAGGTCTGTACTTCTCACTTCAGAATGAAGACTTCTGATTCAGAAAAAAAGCCCAATATTTGCTATCATAGTATATAAATGATAACTTTTTAAAACAGTGGCAAAAATCCAGATGTAAAATATAACTTGCAAAGGGCACTTTAAGAACTGCTGCACACATTACTTTCTAAAATACAATGAGGGAATTGCATGTGAAGATATTATTGACCACAGGGGAGAAGCCAGCACCTAATATGTGATGCATCTAAAAGCCAAACCAAAACACCACAAACCCAAAACAAAATTTTAAACTTTTATTTAGAAAACAAGTTAACCATATACATACAAAGATAATTTACAGCAGTTTCTGCAGATATATAAGAAATACTTCAAGTCAAACTAGTAATAGAAACATTGTGAAGAAGCCAAAGCAAGACAGATGGAAATACTGAAAATGCTCATATGAAGATTTTATGGTCTCAAAGTGTTGTCTTCAATCAGTTGTCGAAACAGAACCTTAACAGCACAAATACGTCTTATCCTTGAAGACCATATAGCAAACAGGTAATTCTATCTCCATGCAGAAAGTAGATTGCATATAGCAAATAGGTAATTCTATCTCCATGCAGAAAGTAGATTGTAAAACACACACACACTTAATATAAGCATGTGTGCATATAAGCATGTGTACATATGTATGCATGTGTGTATACATATCCATCAGGAAATTCAGAATACTGATTGGTTATGAAGGATTCAAGAATGTTGATTTTTTCAAGCCTATCAATGACCAGGCACAGTGGTTCAAGCCTGTAATCCCAACACTTTGGGGGGCTGAGGTGGGAGGATTGCTTGAGCCTGGAAGTTTGAGACCAGCCTGGGCAACATAGCAAGACCTCATTTCTACAAAAAATAAAATTAGCTGGGAATGGTGATATGCACCTGTAGTCCTGGCTACTCAGCAAGTGGGAGGATTGCCTGAGCCCCTGCCTCAAAATGAAGAAAGCAGAGACATGGGTTTGTATTAAGCTTGTCTCAAAGCAAGTTATAGGGGTGCAGAGAGACTGGGAGGAAGACAGGAAATAAACAGCATGAGAAGCATATCCTCTGCATGTTGGCGTGCCCAAGGAGCTCAGAGCCTCAGCGATCCCATGCTGCCTCATGGCTCTGAATACCATCTAGACACCGATGACTCTTAGAGTTACACCTCCAGGCTGGACCTCTCCTCTGAACTCCAAACTCATATAAGCTGTCAAGCGAATTGTCCTCTTGATCTCTTTAACTGGATGTCTAACAGGTACCTCAATCTCCAAACATTGTCCCTCACCTACCCAGGCAAATTTCTCTGCTCACAACCTTCTCCATTTCAGCAATGGTCAACTCCCCCTTCCCGTGGACAAACCACAGACCTTGGAATAATCCTTGACCCATCTCTTACTCCTCAGCAAATCCTATCAGCTCCACCCTCAAAACAGAAAAGATGTGTTTCTCCCCACCTGCACTGCATTCAACTGCCACCACTTCTTGCCTGGATGATTCCAATGGACTCTGAACTTGCCTGCTTCTGCACGCGCCTCCTTCTGTATTCTCTGGCAGCTCCAGAGGGGTCCTGCTCCAACCAAGTTGGACGTTGCCATCCTCTGCTCATCCTCCAGTGGCCTTTCCTCTCGTCCAGAGTGTGAGCCAAAGGCCGCCAGTCACCATCACCCTCCCGGCTCCCTTTCTTGTCTTCAGCCATCCTGGACTCCAGGACGTTAACTGGACAGGGCCTTTGCATAGCTGCTCCCTCTTCTTGGAGTGCCCCCCCCATGACTTAGTTCCTTTCCGCCTTCAGGTCGCTACCCTAAATTACCTTCTGGTGAGGCTTGCTGTGGCCAGGGACCGAAGCTTGCCATTGCCATGCCTCTCTCATGCTTCGTTTTTCTCCTTAGTTTTCATCTGAGCTGTCAAGGCTATTGCACTGTCTCTTCTACTAGGATGTAACACTCCCCTAGGGATTTTCATGTTTCCTCTGCTGTGTCATCTGCACGCAGGGAAGTGCCCAGCACACAGGATGAACTCAATACTACTTGTTGAATGAATAATTGAAAAAATTGGTGATATATGCCATAAAAAATAAGGATTATTAATGAAAGCATGAATAACCAAAGTTTATGTGTCTAATGCCTAAAAATACTCATATGTTGTTAGGTTTTGGTTAAAACCTATTTTTGGAGGAACTTTATTTCCAGTATTGATTTCTGTCTCTGCAATGTGTAACTTTAAAGATGTGTGTTCAAGAAGGAAGAGGATGATGATAATAATATAGGTGAATATTAAATAATGCCCATTGTTTGCCATGCTGGACGAGCTAATGATTTTTAAAAAATTATACCATGTATGGCTTACTACTCGTAGAGCACTGAAATTAGAGTGAAAAAATTGAATTGGCAGTGTCTGGCACACAGTAATGTAATATAAAAGCACGCCAGACTTGGACGTCATCCAAAAGGCCTTAGTTTTATTTCTGAAGTGATAGGAAATAATAGGCATGGGCGTCCAGGCTGGTTACAGTTAAACTTAGAGTTAAAATAAGAAACAGTGAAGAACAGGGGAGATACTATTTTTAGTCCTGAAAATTATAAATCTTTAGTCATTACTCCGTATCAGCTTATAAACAACGAATGTACAGACTCCGAGCTCTCGGCTGAACTGCAGATGAAAAGGACAATGCACACTAGCCAGAGTTAGAATGATGACGGAAAGACTGGGAGACTTGGGCTCCAACCTTCATGATGTCATTGCCTGGCTGTGACGTGGGATGAGTCATTTAAGCTTAGTTACCTTGCCTGTAGTAAAATGTGAGGATGATCTGATAGGCTTCAAAGATCCTCTGAGCACCAAGTATCATAAGAGCTCAGTATCATAAGATTTTATTACTTCAAGCTTAATCACTGTGGTAGGAATAATGCATCCCCTCACCCTAAAAGACATCCAAATCCTAATCCACAGAACTTGTGAATATGTTACATGGCAAGGGGAAATTAAAGTTGCTAACGGACTACCACAAAATAAGATTATCCTGAATTGCCTTGGGCCTAATGTCATCACAAGGGTTCTTGTAATGCAGAGGAGGGGGGCAGACGGCTGACAGAGTGACACACTGTGAAAAAGACCTGCTGGTTTTGATGACGGAGGGAAGGACCACGATGAGCCAAGGGATGCAGGTATCCCTGGGAGCAGGACAGGGAAAGCACACAGGTTCTCCCACAGAGCCTCTAGAGAGCAGCCTGTCTGCTGACATCTTGATTTCAGCTCAATGAGACTCCTGTCAGGCTTCTGACTTCCAGAACTTAATGTATTGTTTGATCCATCAAACACGTGGTAATTTGTTACACTAGCAGTAGAGAACTAAAAAATCATGCTGTGTACCTTAAGTAGCAAAATTGCACCCACATTTATCACAGATACAGGGTTTTTAAAGAAAAACCCTATACTCAGGTGTTTTGTAAAGATCTTTTGAGCCATAGGTGATTGGAGGCCATGAAAAGTTTAGAGGTTGGGTGTGGTGGCTCACGGCTGCAATCCTAGCACTTTGGGAGGCTGAGGTGGGAAGACTGCTTGAGCCCAGGAGTTCGAGACCAGCCTGGGCAACATAGTGAGATCTTGTCTTTACAAAAAATAAATAAATAAAAAACAAGGAGGGCTTACAGAAAAGCTGTGGAAATTAGTAGAGTCTGAGGGAAATATAATTTTCACTAATTATTGATATGAAGAATAGAAACTTGGGATCTTATGAAGGAAAGACAACGGCAAGAGAAGAGAAACTACCCACACTGCAGGATTTTCTTCTTTGGGCCTCAGTTGACTCACCTATAAACGGAAGAGCTGGAATAAACAATTTCTAAATTTCTCTAGTTCTGAAAAAAGATTTTAAAACCCTGACAGATGCTAAAATGGGCCTTTGACACCACTCCCTCACCCCAAAGTTTGGTAAGTAATCATTTTAGAAAGTCCTATAGTTATCTTAGTGTCTGACAGTTGCTTCACAGAAAGCTTCGACTTAGTTCGCTGACAAGGAGTGGCTCTGAGTTTTGATCCCAGACACTCTTACTCCGAAGGGAGCCAGGGCAAATCGCTTAGCTTTCTTAATCATCTGCCCTCGCCATCAGAAGCATGGCAAGCATTTAGCTCGATGGCCTTCCTAGGGAGCGGATTATTTTACAAGAAAGCTTGCTGCTTTATGTAAGCAGACTTTCTACAGTTCTGACGAAGTAGAATTCTACGTGAGGCATACGCTCCGTTTTTACACAAAACTTAGCAAGTGCCACGCAGCCTCGCCTCGAAGTGTCACCACCAGCAAAGTCGATTCCTGGACCGTGCGATAGGACAGGCGCTCGAGGTCTGCGAGGCTGTTCTTGGAAGGCGTCGGACAAGAGCGATTTTCAGGCTCTCAGAGACCGCTTAAAGGCGTGATCCAGACCACACCCGGCCCGCAAG